ATGCATGCGGCCGGCTGACATCCCACCTTCAAGAGTCAGGAGATCGTCGAAAGAAGCATCAGGTCGAAAATCGAACAAGCAGAAACTTTCGCCCCAAAAACCGGCCTTTGGCACGAGGTGTTGCGAACGGTGCGGCTCACACAGCCACTTGACATGTTGCAAGCGCTCCTGCACAGACACAGCCGCACACGTAGACATCGAAGACAAGCAGATGGCTGGGTGCATTCACTCCGGCTCACCGACAAAAGCCACCCAAACCCTCCAGTGCCTCACTCTGCAGCTGGCAAGCGCATGAATCTTCCGGCTTTTGCAAACCAAGGCACGCATCTTCTGGCTCCCAAGATGGGACCTTTAAGGCCAAGTCTATGACAGGATGCACAGAAGCATACGGCTGGAGCAAGTCAGCAAGATGGTCCTCAGTCAACCTGAGGCCCGAACACAGCTATAGTTTGCTGGAGAGAGTTCGCCAAATGCGCAAAAGAGATGGGCCACATCTGGCTGATAGCCTGGAAACTGCCAAGCTGGTGAAACCGACTTGCTCCTGCTTGGTGGCCAAGTTAAGTCTTCGCCTCCCACACCTCCATACTTCTGCTGTGCTGAGTCCACCTTACTACATCTGCCTTTTATGCGCGCTGTCCTGCAAGCGTCGCCTGTTTCACTTCTACTCTGTGACTTTACGATTCTCAGGGGTCTGGACTCGTCTACTCAACTGCGGAAACGTGAAACCAGCATAGAGAACGAAACAATGAAACTTGAATCTATAAGAGGAGAAGAGGTACCGCACTATCGAGATACCTGTAAGCTTGCAAGCATGTTGAAATATATTGTATATAAGTCTCGTCTAAGACATCTTTTGTAATGTCGGCAACTGGCCGCAAGGAAAGATCTAACCGTCATCTCTGGAACCACTGAACAAGGTTAACCGGATCGCCCCGAAAAAGACACAGAAGCTGACTTATGCCTTACGCCACCATGTCCATGTTAGTGATAGTTGGTGGAGGTGTGCGGCTTTGGGTTGAAGACCTGCCTTCCGGGCATTCCGGAGTGCACTCCTCGCCACTTGCGATCTTCTCCTCAGCTCTGCAAGAATCAGTACGGCAAGGGTGGAGACTGCTTCGCGGCACTCAAGAACCCACTTTGGCCGCTCTGGCCTATCACTTCGACAGTGCGCGTGTAGGGCGAAATGCTACAAAAAGAATTGAAACCTACTGCACCCTTTCTTTCATCGGCGATCCAGAAAAGTTTCCGGCTTCGGTCCCTCGTCCTGGCTCCAGACAGAAGGCTCGTGAATGTTGCAGCTGATTGCGCCACGCGCCTCTTTGTCCTCTTTCTTCTTGCCAGTCTGAGGCAGGAGCACAACAGCCTCGGCACGCTCACCCTATCTCACTCTTATGTTCAGGGTCATGGTCCGGTCAGACACTTGGCTGGGCCTTCTTTTTCTTGTCATCCTTCTTGTCATCTTTGTCCTGCGCATCGGCGTATCTGCTGGACCAGGACCACACGAGCCGTGTGCCCTGTGACTCGTCAGAGGAGAGCTCAACTTGAGACAACTTCAGGGTCCTTCGCGCAACCCTTCGGGACATCGCAGGTTTCGCGCGGAGTACTGCTTAGGCACACCGGCGTGAAAGACCTTGGTATTCCGATGAAAACAGTATTGTACTTTGCATTCCGCCATGTCCTCCATATCCCAGTCCCAAGGGGAACGTTCAAGATTGGCGACAGAGCCCCTACAAAGGCTCGCAAGAAGTCTGACAGCACAAGGTTGACAGCTGAGCTTCTCAGGCCAGGAAATGAACTTCGTTGAGTTCTTGTCTGGCCCGATGTCGTTGAAGATGTACCGGTGCAACTTGGATGTGCAGGTTTCATTTCCTGGTGCGTAACAGCCGGTCTTAGCCCACGCAAAAACGGGCTGTCTGCCATCAGAAATCATCCCACGAAGCGTGGTAGTACTCCAGGCATCCAAAGTATTGATCGGCATTGGCTTCGGACACTCCTAGCGGTGCCATGCGGTGCCGTCTGTGACTGAGATACTCTGTTGCCAAGACCACTGTGGTGAACAGATTCAAGCACTGGCCTGCATGCAACATTGAGTCCGCATGACCTCGGCGGCAGTGAATCTGCTGACCTCTAGCACTCTAACGGTGCTTTGGTGGCCGGCCTGCAGTCGTGGTACCAAGCCCAAGTGCTCGCAATGCATTGCGGCAACTGTCCCGGTCTCGTATCGAAAGCCTTGCGGCTCAAGGCCGGTGTTTGCATGGTTATCTATCAGGGTTGTGGCTGTGAATGTCACTTCGTGAGACTTGGATTTTGCAGGTCGTGATTGTGCCGCGGAGGAACATGCAAGCTCACGAGAGACTTGCTTCAACTGCCCAAACATTTACCCGTGCCGTGGCGATCCTTCGAGCAATTGACAGGGCCTGATCACGTCTCGAATTGCAGACCAAGAACATCCCAAACTTCTCGCAGGAGCCATCTGGATCATCCACAGATAGCACCTTGTGCTCGTGGACACATTTCACTTCCGTGACGATGCATCTCTGCGGTGACTGTAGCACTAAAGCACGTTAGGACGCTCTCGCTTTCAACGGGCATGCTGATGCGATTGCGTGTCAACAACCACCTTCCTTTCGCTCAGACGGCTTATTGCTCTGCCAACAGCTTCGGAGCCAAGCCTGCACGATGCCTTCCTGCCTATGTGAGAGCAACTTGCGCCCGAAGCCGGGGTCCTGGTCCTCAGGTGAGTATGACAAGTGAGCGTGGCTGGCTGCACGGCTGGACACGGCTCTCCGATGTTTCGACGAGGCTCTCTTGCAGAGGTTCCCTGTCTAAAGCGACCGGCAGCAGGGGTGCCTTCCAAGCTTCTGGACTCGGTCACACAGGGCTATCGAAGCTTGAACCCGAAGCCTGCCGCGATTACGAAGAAGGCTGCTGTCACCAGAAACAGCTGCCGCAGCCATGCAGCCAACGACATGCTCTTGCCCCGGCGCCATCACGGCGCAGCGACACACGTCCAGGCTCGTTCCAATGAACCATGTTCCCGTTAACGATGCATTCCACTCAGTTCGACCACGTCGTAGTACCACTTCACAATTCAGGACTCCCCTACCACAAACCTACCCCTGGAAGGCTGCCTCAGTCTGCGGTCGGAAGTCAACCATGCAGTCTGCTGCAGGCAACCGCAAGGTGCATGCTCGGTCAGCGTTGTGGAGACCAACGACAACCCTGACATACCCTTGCCTTCATGCCTTGCCTTGGATACACGACCTAGCAAGTCCTTGAGTTGCTGGACGGTGCCCGATGGAAAGTCGATCGTCTGTCAATTCTGTCCTGACCAGGTCAGCCAAGGTCTGCCCCGCCCAACGTTGCAACTGCTGGGAGGGCATCGACGGCCTGTACTCCCAGGAAACAAAACAACTAAGTTAATTAAACTCGAAAATAAAGGAATGACTTCAACAATGAATACAACGGAATACCCAGCATCAGGGCGAAAAAGATCTGCAAGGGAGTGACAATACACCCTCAAGTGGTCGGACGGCACTGCCTAAGGCTGTTCTTGGCTTCAAAACAGACATCTAAAACGTACTTGACGGAACAATAAGCATCTATTTCGGTCAGCGTTGGGGATATCAAATCGAAACCCACCTTAAAATGTGAATGCACCGGCTATTGGAAACTATCCGGTAGCTTGGCCCAGCTACTTGCGTAGCAGTAGCCCCGTGAATTACTTGACGTAAACAGTTTAACAGGAAATCCTGGTAGCACGTCCGAACAGGACTCGCACCGCAACTACATGCAATGGATCTGCCTCGCTAGGATCTGACTCAACATTCCCCGGCTTTGTCAAATTACCTCATTCGTGGAGATTCGTGGTACAGCCTGTTGGGGCGAAGCAGTTTTGATGACGAGTGTGTTCAGGAAAGGATGTACTGAGTGTACTGTCAACTGCATTGGAGCGATGGAAGACTGGAGCACAGTTGTCGGCACTTGCACTTCTGCGTAAGCAAGCGAGGGAGACAAGCTTACAAAGGAATCTCGACCCTGACTCACTGACCAGCCTTGCCCGATCCACCCACATCTCAAGAACTTAGGTTGCTGTCTCGTCGCTCCCAGGCCCACTCAAGTGCTTCCTACGTGTACAGCTTAATAATCGGATGATACTTGGTGACCATTGCTCCTGAAAAGTCCAATCGAGTGCCTTGACTTTGCCGTTGCTTCGGGCTCCAGTGGATGCTGCAACTGATCGCTCAGATGTTGGCGAGACAGTGCTGCTGCTGGCGAAGAGACATGAATAAACTGAATAAACAAGTGCGAAGTGCTGACCGTGTCCTTGCTGACCCCGGCGGGCGCAGGAGCCGGATTCGAGGAAGGCCTGGCTCGAGAGCAGGCAAGGGGGAGCAGCACAAGCGGAGGTCAGATCCCTTCCTTCGCATCCTCCGACTACGATTTCGCAGGGCTTAGCTGTGTCCGTCCTACCCTTTGTGCAAGCTGAGGGGCACGTCGGAGGCGGTGGAAAGAAAGGAATTCAAGACCTCATCGTCTTCGGAGTTTTGGGATAACTTGTCTGGGTAACACGGCCTGCGTTGTGTGTAGACCCCTGAGGCGGTTTTGCACATTACAAGCTATAGGCTGCTCAGGGTCATCTTCGAACCTCGCAGGCCGCTTCATTAGACACCGCTGAGCTCCAAGCAGAAACTTTGACCTGGCAGAACTCACGACAGCTGTGCTCAGGCAAGTTCGGACGGGGCCGTTTGATGCGTGCAGCACCGATCCCAATCCACCCGAAAGGCTACCCTGCACTGTCTCACAGGCATCAGGGCACCTTCACGGAGGAGTCCGTCTCCGTTTCAAGCAGCTCCTTCGGCCTTTCTTCCAGCGCCAGCTCCCCCTCGAAGCCTCCGGCATCGAATCGCTGCTCTTCAGGTTGCCGGGGCTTGCACAACAAGAGATCCAGGCTTCCCAACTTGAACCAGCCGGATAGGCACCGAAACGCGCTGCTACAATCACATCGAGTTTCTTCTTGTACTCGGGGGTTGTGGTCCGGTGCGCGTAGGGCGTAGGCTTTGCAGGCGCTTCCTAGCAAACTGACCTCCGCAAAAAGAATTGCACAGAGTGTCTTGACAAAATGCCTGTCTTTTGCGATCACTTCTCTTTGTGCTGCCTTGTCCGATGAGCCTTGTCGCTTGCAGGTCGGCCTGCATCCAATTTCGGCATCTTTGCAAGGTCAGCATCTCCATGTGCGATCATGTACGGCTCCGACCCAACCACGACCCCAAAGTTGCGATTGCCCACGGATTTGGGCGTCAAGGCTACGGTATCCATCCGTTTCCTGGCAGGATGCGAACCGCACGAGCATTTTGCGCGCCTTGCCCAGGGCACGCTGCTTGGTTCCTTGAACCATAAACCGCAACGAATCACCTCAAGGCAAACAGGGTCGGGTTCAAATGATTTCAATAGTGCAAAACCCAAAGGTTGGCACATGCACGTAAGCCTCAAGATGATGTCTCCTACCCAGCTGGACCAGCAGAAATTTCCAACATCAGTTTCAGAGCAGGCCTCCTTTGCTGGGCTTCCACAACGAGGCAAGGCGCTGTGCGACATCTGCAGCTCGCCGGTGTGATTCCACGCTGGATTCTTGGAGTCCCGGACAGGCTTAGTCTCGAACTTGGCTTCCTGCGCCAGTACCAGATTACCGGGTCCAACTTCTGTCATGGTGCTTCGCGTCGACAATGTACCAATGTAATTAATGCTGGAACTAAACAACCAAAAATTGGACAAGGTTGAATCAGTGCGACGCCACAAGCAGGGTGGCAATGATTTTGGCAGCACGGACAGCTTTCTGGCATGGCCACCCCCTCGCGGGGGGGGGGGTGTGGGGGAGCGAGAGGGGGGGTCGGAAATAGGTACCGGTACCTATTACGACGGTGGCTTGAGGAAAGGGGGGTCGGGGTGTACTCGGAGGACTCTTCCCACATGGATAAGACTAGTTACGATGGGTTGGATTTGCGACGACAGCTCAACGACTCCCACTGTCCCAGTAGGCCCCGGTACCTATTTTTATCGGCACCCCCCCACTCTCCCAAAATAAACCCCGGAAATAGGTACCACTCAGAGTAACCCCCCCCTCAACAGTACCTTTACGAGGGGGTGGCCATTTTCTGGCAGCTATTAGACTGTCAACTGGCCTTGCCCACCACTTCCACGATACCTTCGTTTTTGCACGCAGCATTTAGGAGTCTTGTTTCCAGCAGGGCTCGGTTTTGCTAGCTTGGTCCCGTCACGCACTCCGGAGGTCGTAGACAAGATGCAAGAAAGCGCTTCGCTTTCCTTGGCTGGGGGCGCTCACAAAACCTACACCATCATCTGAAGAAAGTCCTGAATGCCACCACATATTCGTGCCGGCGTGCTGGTCCGGGCCGCCAGCCTTTGGTTCGCAGCCCAGTGCCGGAGATCACAGATACCTGTAGAGCAACGAAACGGTGCAAAGCGGTGGCCGGAGGCAACTGGTCCCGAGACTATGGGAATCTTCGAGATAGTCTGCGGCCTGGAGCTGGTAGATTAGCATGGACATCTTGGTGATGAGGCTTGTGCCAGCTCCTTTTGTCTCCTCGGACGGCACTGACACGACGTACTTGTGGAAGTTCAATTGCCTACTTTCCTCCCCTGGCCTCCACACCGAGCTCGCGCAGCTTGGCTTCTGCGTCAGCACAACGCTTCGAGACGTCCTGGAGACGGATAACGGCGGATAACTCAGATAAGCAACAACGGTCCGTCGTTATAGTTCCCCGAAAGACGACTACCGCTCTTCACAGCTACCATCCGCTACTGCTCTTCTCACCTCTGCTCTGGCTAGAGCGACTGTGCGTTTCCTTCCTTCGCATTTCAGATTACGTGGCTATGCGGTCTTCAATCAGCTTCTGTCCAGCAGCTCCACTCGCAGGGCATCATAGGCTTCACGCTGCACATCCTCATCGCGTTTAGCACCGTACCTTCGCGGCTTCAGGGGAAGAATCGCATCGAAGTGTCAGAAAGAGCTGGAAAGGCCATTGCAGCCACCCTGCTAAAGGTCGATGTGGCGGTGCAGTTAGAGTAGCCTAGTCAAGTAACATGGCTCCTGCATCCCATGGTGCTTGCACAACTCGGCGATCTTCTCGTTAGCTGCTTTCAACTCCTCCTCACCTGGAGCTGCACCGTCCACGCGGCCGTCTCTTTGTTTCTCTATGAGACATTCTTGCCACAGAAGATGCGGTGTTGAACTGCGAACAGCCAAGACTCGCTTGGACACTGCAGTCTGGAGCTTCTGCAAAGCAGCTATTACGAGCCTGGCCGACACCGTGAGCAAGAGCCTACGCAAAAAGCGAGAAGCCTCTCAAAGTTGTATGGTGGTCAACCAAGTGCACCGCATCTGCGTGCTGACTCTTTGACACCTGCCTAGCTGCTGGGCTGGCACCGTCCGCGCCTCGGGGCATCCTCCGGCAGGGCGCCAGCGTTTGTCAGATCCTGGGACCCGACGCTGTGTGAAGAAACAAGCGGCCCACGGACCTGGAAACGCAGAGACAACCCAAGGACATCCAAGGACTATTAGGACAAAGTGCGGGATCTGGAAGATGGATCTGCTCCTCAGTCCGGCATCACTTGAGCGAAGAGAATAAGGCGGTGGCGGCGGTGGTGCATCTCGCCAAGCTTTCGACTTTCGACTTGATTGCATCAGAGAATCTAGGAAGTCTGCCAACACCAGGGGAATTCCCCTCAAGAGATCCTCGCAGAACACTTGGCAGGATCACAGTTGTCTTTCCCAAGATGCAAGGATTGGCGGTCATCATCCTATAGTGAACAATCCATCAAGCGACGCCTTCGGTCGTCAAGTGTAAACCGATGTAAACCCCGACGAACCTTTGAATGAGTCAGCAAAGCTAGCCTCCTCTTGCATACCAACCTGCCCGCTCTACGAGGGTCCTCCCGCCGCTTCACCTCTGCCTGGAAAACTGCGCTGCCAGTTGCTTGGCACTGGCTTCCGTGCTAGTGAGTGGTGGATGATCCTTTGGTGGCTTTGGTCAGGATGGACCTGCAATCAGGCCGATGCGGTGCGGATGCTAATTGCAGTGGGAGAATATGGGGGCTTAGCTGTAACGCTGTTGGAAGTTGGCGTGGTTTCTTGTGTGCACATGTTTGTGGATTTTGTGGGCAAGCTAACCTCCTTTCACTGTACGTGTGTCTGACGAAGGGCTCAATCAGCAGCGTTCTTCTGGGCTGAGATCGTGGTAGATCTGGCGTTGCGTCAACTGGGTTGGGTGTGGGGGTGACCTTAGGCACTCATTCGAACATCAAACATTGCAAGATATGGTCTATTCCTACTTGGCGGGACATTCCCGTGCCGCAACAGCAAACCCTGCATTCAACCCTCCAGTCCAAGGGCAATCCAGTACAATCTCTGGAAGATCAGCAAAATCACGTCTATAACTCCTCGATCTCCCTTCACCAGATATACCAGATAGAGGTGGCAACTGAGGAGAAGCACCTGTGCACTAGACTCGATCCTGACGCGAGCTGGGATATCTTCATGAATTACGTTTTACATGGCTGCCTGAAAGGTCGCTCTGGAGATGATATGTTGTATTTTGCTGCAGCCTCGAGGAGATTTACACCGGCCGTGCTTCTGATCCGGCTGGAGATTGTCTGAAGCGATTCGCTACGCCGTCATGTCCGTGCCTGAATGGTGGCACACTTGGCATAGGCATCGGAAAGCTCCTGCACTGCGTGTAGTGGTTGGCAGCCCTTAATAGTCAGAAGGTGGAGAGAGTACATAGTTGCAACGACACGATCACCCAAGTGCTACAGTAGGCCGGCAGGAAATGACTCAAGGATCCCTGCGAGTTCGCAGCTTTTTTCCATGGCTTCAGTCCAATCTGGTTCCGCAAAGGGCCGCGTCAGTAGCCTCCATCGCCACCTTGGTTGTCGTAGCCGCCGTACTGCTCCTCCTGCAGAGTGAACTGGCGTTTGTGGCTTCGTCTGCTACCCTACACTAACGCCACTACTGCCACCACTACCACTACACTGCCACTACCACGACTACTACGACGACGACTACTACTACTCGGCTGCGATCGTATATCTGAAGCTTTACCGTACTCGCTCTCATGCCTTGAAGGTGCGGTAGGGGTGTGGGTTTTGCACAATTTGCAAGAAAGACTCCAGCCTCAATTATCTTAATCATATGGTTTAAGCGTATTCCACGACAAACTCTCGAAGCTAATAGCTCCTACCTGGGTCACGTGGGAGTGGGGTGGGGTGGGACGGGGGTGATGGTGGAGCAGGTGAATACAGCCTCATTATCATCAGACCCATTCTTGCTTGTATCATAGAATCGTCACCAGCATCTGCAAAACCAACAACCCTAAAATTGTGACCCTCGCGATTGCTCTACCTGGAAACCCGAAAAAGCCGTAAATACCGATTCAAACCCTTCCCAACAGCCACGAAAAAGACAACTACAGAATTGTTATCGTGGGATCCATGGTTGCTTGAACCATAAATCGTCACCATGGTGAATACATTGCATGCCTTTGTAAAACCACAAATATCGTCCAGAAATCTACGCTGGTCTTTGCTCTACGACAAAGCCCGAAACTACCGTAAATACTACTGCTACTACCACCACCACCACCACCACCACCACCACCACCACGACTGCTGCTGCTGCTGCTGCTACTACTGCTACCACTACCACTACCACTACCACTCCCACTCCCACTCCCACTGCCACTGCCACTCCCACTGCCACTGCCACTGCCACTGCCACTGCCACTGCCACTACCACTACCACTACCACTACGACTACTACTACTACTACTACTACTACTGCGACGACGACTATTTCTACGACGTATTCGAAGACGACCACTGCTACCACGACCACCACCAGCACCACCATTACCACCATTTCACCTTCCACCACCGCTGCGACTGCGACTGCGACCACGCCTACAACTACACCTACTGCCTCTCACTACAACTACCGCTATCACCGAATTTACTGCTTCTAGGTTACAAGCTTATCTAGCAGGACGACAACTACTACAGCTACTTCTCCACTGCGACGCCGTGGGCACTGTGGTCAGTACGTGCAAGATGACAAGCACGCAAAAAAAAAACGTCAGAATGACCGAAACCATACTCTCAACCTCTCCTGCGGAGGCATCATCATGGGCGTCTCGTCCTTGGGCTCGTGGACGATCACATTGTCTGGAAGCTGCATTTTGGGTCCCATCTTGCCCTCTGGATCATGCGACATCATGATTTTCACCTCGGCCGCTCTCCGATTACTAAAGCACGGCTACTGTATGGCTGACTGGGAAGAGATGTCCCGACAAGCCTGTGAACCTGATTCATTAAGTTAGAAACTTCGAACGAGCTGTTAAAAAAGAGAAGTCGCCTTGATGCCAATGGTTCCCTGTCGCATCTGCACATGCCGGACGGCCTCCGAGATGTAGTGACGTTTCGGCTCGCCGGTGGAGATCAAATAGCCCTGCCTGAACTTCATAGCCTTTGCTCGCTGAGCACGAAGCTTGCCGCTAATGATAACTTCAACGCCCTTGGCTCCGTTCTCCATGATGAACCTCAAGACACCGTAGCACGCACGTCGCACAGCCAGGCCTCCGATGAGCTTGAAGCGCAGGGACTCGCATTGGGCCATGGCGCAAGACGCACGGTTTTCCACACGCTCGGCAAAGAGCTCCACGCTGTTCTCTGGAAAGCCGAAACGTTTCTGCACCAAAGCGGTGAGCTCTCGGATACGGCGCCCTTTCTCCCCAAGAACCTCGCGAGTTCGTGTTGCACGGATGATGATCTCGGTTCGGATCGGCGTCACTCGCACCTCCACACCAGCATATCCGTCTTCACCCAGGGTCCGAGCCAAGAACTCGTTCAGCTCTGCATTGAAGACTCCATCTGCGACGAATTTCCTCTTCTTGGACACCTGGCTAGCACTCATGTTTTCGTGGGAGGCGGTCGCACGCAAGGACTTGAGCCTGAATGCCGCTGGAGAGAAAGCCTTACTTCTCTCTGTCGGGTAGAAGTATGCTCCAGCGAAACAAGTCGCCCAGTCTCTCCACTCCCTCTACGCCTCTCCAACATTGCTGGCTAACTGCACCCGGAAAAGTTCAGCTCCTCCTCAAGGCGCTCGGCCTCTGTTGCCAAGAGCTCTGCAGCCGTGAGTTCCGGCGCAGCCTCCTAGTTGTGGCAATCAGGGTCCGCATGCGGAGCACGTGCACAAGGTCAATGATGGGCACAAACACCCTCAAGAACACACTACAGTGGATCTTCATCGTCCTCGCGTCGCCTCAGCTGGTCCTGAGAAAGGCATGACGTGCCGCAAAGCAGCCGGGCATGAACTGGACATCACATCGCGGGTTTGTAGAAAACAATCAGCATGTCTACTCTGCTCTCGCTGCTTCAGTGGAGGTGCCAGCATTTTGGAGTTGCCGACATGTGTAGCTACTTTGCTTGCGATGGCACAAACGAATCTAGCTCAAAATAAAGGACCACCGCACAAGGACGGCACGCCACACCAAAGAAGATCGCAGCACACACCACTGTTTCGAAAGCGAAGAAACTCTTATCCTATCATCCCTGCCGGCATGTCCTTTGCATGTAGTAGCTGCCTTTGAGTCTAGGAGTTGAGATTCAGCATCCGAAAGTGTTAGTGAAACATAACTCAGCATAGCCGGGCTGAATCTAAACTCCTGCCAGTGTCATCTGGCCTGACTTCACCCCAGCCTAACAAGCACACCACCTCATGCAACCTAGCCCAGTGACCTATTCATACCCAACCGAGTTTAACCTAATCTAGTTGAAAGTCTTTCATTGAGAAGATGAGGCTGATTCATGGAAATGGCTGTTCAGAGCCTATTGACCAAACGTGTTGACGTGTTGGAGGTATTGGCGCTCTGACGCAGTGTGGTGGCTTCTCTTGCTTCTGTGGTTGCGAAAGTCTTGCCAACTTTTTGCTAAAAAGTAGCAGAGTCTTGGAAGGCTGGGCGTGGTAGGGGTGTTGCTTCGAGAGGCAGGTGCAGGTCCTCGAGCTTCGACAGTCTCTCGTTGACTTCATCTAGCTCTGAAACTTTCCTCAGGAAGCGAACATGTCCAGCAATCAACGAATTGGAGGATTGCAGACATCTCCCGATGTCCGACATGCGTACGTTCCCTCCACAGAACAACGTGCGTAAGGGCGTCGTAGAAAGGTCGTTGCGGAGTTGTTGATTCTCGCTCTCCATCTGCGGCACCTGCCGCAGCATCAGCTCAGCTTGCCTGGCAAGGCTCACCACATCGTAGCTCGTAATTATTGCAGGTAAACAAACCTGTACGACATGTTAGACAGCGACGCACAGCCCTGCAGCAGCGACCCGGCTAGACCCTTCGATGAAGCTTGCAAGTCGGCTTCTGCCTTTGTTTCTCTGAGGCTTCTATCAGCTGCGAGCCCATGCGAGTACCCACCAGCTGCAAGTCCTTGCCGTGCCAGGCAGGGCGTACAAAAACCATGCCAAAAACACTGCCTTGCTAGAAACTAGCGGCCAGCTGCTAGCTTGGTCCACGCTTCGCACATGGCTTGTGACAGACAGATGACGGGCTACATGGGAAAGAAGAGGAATGTCCTGGATTTGCAGCTCTTTTGCTTCAGCATCTCTCCGTGCATATTCCAACTCCTCCGCGAGTACCACCTGAAGTTCTTTCCATGTCGAACATGTGCGATGCTCATTCTCGGATCAAGATGTGGATCTCGAACTAAAGGCCTTCATCCTCTACAGGCAAAGCATTTGTTCAGTTTTGCTTCCTTGACAAAAGTGAGAGGGTGCAATTCGGGTGTCGGAGGCCCAGGCGTCTAGACGATGTTGTGCAAACGTACACCATTGCAAACGCGGATGCTGCGGAAGGGATGGCTTCACGATGTTGAAGCTGCGAGCGGAGTCGACTCAGTTCCTCCTGCACAAGCAACGGATGCTGGGAGGGATTCCACCCGAATAATGTCCTGCATCTTCTGTTTCTCCTGCAGCACCTGCAGGACCAGCTCAGCGTGGCACCATCTCCCGTCAAGCTGGTGAGGGCAAACAGCTGACTGCCTTGCCCAGCTCTGCTGATTCTTTGGCCTTGCCTTTCTGCAAAGCCCTTTCCTGCCAGGAACACGCACACAACGCTGCAAATCAGAATGTTAGTGTTCCTACTCGACCATTCGACATCTGAATGTGACTGAAAGGCAATGAAATCCTGTCCTGCTTCTTCACAGTTTCGAGCTCTGACTGGAGACGCTGGACCTTGCGCGACTTCGCACTTTTCCACCGCCCCCATCCTTACCGACCATACGAGCCACAAAACCATCACAACGACTCACGACTTCTTGCATACTATTAACTATTTGCTATCTGGGGTGTCCGGGGGGTCCAAGCCACAACAACTCCAAGCAAGTGCGGCCTCAGCAGAAGCGAAGCGCAAATGGCTGTCCAACTCCTGGCCGCTCTTTTGGCCCGCACAAACCTTCTGACAGCTAAAGAACTTGTGTCATTGATTAGATACGAGATGTATGGCTCGAGGCTCGAGGTCTGTCCAACATGTCCTCAATTTGCTGCACGGACGAGCGCTCGCCCGCCAGCGCTGCCTGAAGGAGCTGGGCACCGGGAAACTCTTTCAGACTGGAAACAGCCAAGTCCATCATCACATCCTGCAACCATGATCGTATTCAGTCGCGCCTGGAAACGCTCCAGCTTCTCGCGAAGGCCACATATTTCTTCATTCAGCCGTTCGATTTCTCCTTGAGTCACTGCTGTGCATGCTTCAGCTGGTGGTACAATACTTCGTCTACAGTTCGACAACAGCCACGTGATCCTCAACTGTGCAGAAAAACTTCAACACGAAACTCGCATGATCGCTCGATTCCTGGATTATGCTCTTCTTCGTGTCTTTTCACATCAGGAACGTCTCATTTGCAAGTGTGTGGAAACGAGTGGTTCTACGGGCAGTGCGGCCGCTTTGTCCGCCGGCGCTCTTTGGCACATTCCAGAATCTCTCCCAATGTCTATACACCTGCAACCGACGCTCTCGACGGTCGACCAGCGCGGCGAGCACCGCCGCATACGGAGAACAGTCGGGCTGAGTGGAAAAGTAGTCGAACCAGCAGCTGTGATCATCAACATCAGCCTCAGGCAGGGAGCAAGTAGGACTCATGGATGGGCAGCACGACTGACGTGACCGCCAGCTTTGCTTGCTGCCTCTGTGTGGACCTGTGGACTAAATGCGACTCTCACTTCGTGCCTTCATGGCTGCTATCGTCTCCAGTGAGAAGGAAGCAAGGAACTCATAAAGTTCCTTGCCAACCAGCGCTTCAGGCCACTTGATGCTGATGCGTCTCCAATCTATAAGATGCTGGAAGGCGACTTCGTACTCATCGGACAGAATGACAGGAATGCATCCACACTGGATGCTCTCATACAGCTGGTTCGTCCAAGGCGAGGTACCGGCAGGTATCAAGCAAAAGTGGGCATTGCCCTTGATCTCCAAGTAGTTGGGCACGAAGCCGCCTTGGTAATGACAGCATGCCTCACACGGCTGCAGCTTTCGATTCACTGACAGGTGTGCGACAGCCAAGGACTTCACATAGTCCGACAAAACCTACGAGTAGCAACAAATAGGATACACTAAACATCACTAAACAAGCGCTGAACATCCAGCTGCAGTGGCCCACATCAACTCCGGCAAACTGGCCAAGCTCCATAACCTTGTCTCTGACCGCACACTGCTCGTAAACCTCCTTGTTGCCCGAGTAGCTCCCATGGAATGTGATGATCAATTCTCGCTGCGCCGTCGGCCGGTTGTAGCGCCGCATCGCTTGCAGGCGCGCATAGTCAATATGCCCAGGGATGATGACGTCTTTCCAGCCTGAGCTGCATGGCTTGATGTCGCTGTATCTTCGCATGGGCTCGTCCCATGTGGGACACTTCGACTCCACCATCAAGAAGACTGCCTCACTGCGAACCAAGTCATACGAGTCCCAAATTCGAGCAGACTGGCCATCCGCAAACAGAAAAATGTGATCCATCAGCTTGTTCCGCTGGGCCCAGGGTTGGGCAAAGATGTGTCTGATCAACGGATCCCAGATCCTTTCTGACGCATCCGCGTCGTTGTCCAAGGCGTCCTTTGTGAAGAGGCATGTTCCATAAATTGGTACATAAAACAGCTCGGCCTTCTCTGGATCCAACGTTCGGCATGCAGAGCTGAGAAAGTACTGGTGAAAGAGAACTTCTGTGCCCCACTGTCCTAACACACAATGCAGCGGATGGCGAGTCAGATTCTCGGGCACGTCATACACCTGAGACTCTCAGCTGATACCGCTGCTCACTGACCATTGACAACATGCAGTGCAACAACCCTCAAAAGAAATCTGAGTGCAGCAAGATGTACATATATCTTCAGGTCTGCACCGTGACAGTGGTTTTCATCGAGACCAAGCAGGAAAGAGTACGTGTGGACTGTGTCTTGAGCCCACTCCTCTCTGAGAGCTGCCACTTCAGCCACACCATCCTCCTCCAAAGAGCTTGCCAACTTCGAGGCCAACTCGAAAAGACCTGCGGAATCCGGAAGCGTAACAGCCCTGACCCACGTCATGCCGTTAAAAGTCTTCAAGAAGCTCTCTGATTCGTTCTGTGGCAAGGAGTTGCTGTTCAGAACGGTCCGAAAGAATCCCGCGACTCACGACTGCTGCTGTCTCAACCTCGTCCATCCTCCAAGGAGTAGTCGACCGAAGAGGCCAGGACTGCGTCCATCATTATCCTCGACAGTCGCGTCACATGCTCGTTTATGTCGGCCCACGCATGTATCCTCTCTGCTCGCAGGGAAGGCTGAAAGCTGAAGTGCAGGCCAGAGTCTGCAAGACTGCCACAGGGCAGAGATCGAGATTTTCCTAGGAGCACAACCGCTACAGTGCAGCACAGTGACAGTGCAGCCATGTCATGCGCTGACCACACAGGCACACCACGAGTCTTGTAGTTAATAATTACTTGCCGACGAGACTAGGCACTCCCCGGCTGCCCGGCTGCTTCTGCTGGCAGATCATTTCATCCCATTCGTGAGCGCCGAGAAGCCTCAAAATTTGGGAGGATCTTGTACTCATAGATGGTGTGCCTTGCAACGCACAATCACGGCCTCCTATGAGGTCTGGCACAACCGAAACTTGGGAGACCTAACCTGCTCAGGAAGAAATGCAGAGGTAAGTCAAGTGGTGTCGATGAAAATGAAGTGCACTAAACAGGTTGCCACCTTGTCGTGGCGGAGGGGGAGTCCCCTTCCTTCTTGGCTCGGAATCAATCATTTGTGTAGTGACGGGGAGGGCGGGGCGCGGGGGCCTACCCTAACCCCCACGCCCCCCCTTCAACTATTCAGACAGGACCTTACAAGGTCTTCTTGCACACAATTCTCACCTGGTCCTCTTCTACCCAAGTTAATGGTGAACGACTCCCGCAAGCTCCACAGAGCTAGCAGCGCTAGCTTTTGCCACCTTTGCGATGCTCTAGGCTTACTTGAGATAAGAAGCAGCAACTCTTGCGAACGGGCCAGGCTGTCCTCAACACAGACGCAGTCGCTTCATGTTGGAGCTGTCTTGCGAGGAACACTCATCAAGGAAAACCGATGCAAAACAAAGGAGTGGCAAAGTCGTAAAACCGCACTGGAACTTCGTCCGAGACTCTCTCATGTACCTGACATGAAACCGGTCATAGCGGCTGAAGAAATCACCAGGCAACCCCGCTGCTGGCAAGCCCCCTGCGTCGCGTGCTCTCTAGCTCTCTCTCTCTCTCTGTGATTTGCTCGGGGCTTGGAGCGGAAGCAGGCCTCCCTCTGTCTGTCTCTCTCTCTAGCTCTCTGACATACATAGATGCATGCATGCATACATACATAGTTTTCTACTAGGTGTAGGTGTGTGTGTATATATACCCTGCTATTCCTGAGGGCGCCCTTTCGAAGGACTTGGTTCTAAGGACGTGTATTCGAGGGACCCTGGTTCTGCTCACGGTTAGCCGGGGCTTTGATGTTTTGGATGAATCTGCGAAGCCATAAGAAACGGATCTTTTGCAACTCGATTCGCTGAAATCCTGTCGCATCTACCTTCGACCAGCATCGAACCGAGCACGTTGTGCTCCGGTTCGCCTCGCAAAAGCCAAAAGCCGATGCTTCTTCAGCGCCGCAAGTCTGGCAATGGATTTCTTGAGTATCGCATCCTCGAAAGTGCCCGGGTTCGCTTTGCGAGCTAGCAACTTTGTCCATCGCATAGCATCTTCGTCAGTAAAACAGTGATGGTACCGCATATTCATACCTTAGATGCCGTCCCGAAATTTGTCGAAACCCTGTTTGTTTGCATCCGGGAAACCAAATGCTCGCCGTGATGCAGGTCCGCTTCGTTTCCAACAGCTGGTGCTCAAAGTAGTGGGCTTTCGGGATAACATTCCAGGTGAGTTCTTGCTGCCTGCACAAAACCATCGGATACTTTATTTAGAACACAAAGCCTTACCGGAATATCTCCAAAGGGTAGATCGCCCATAGAACTCAGAAAAATAGCCATTGCGAAAAGCCCCACCTCACCGACACCTGGGCCAGCTCCAAGCCCTTGTTGATGAAAAGCATACCCTCATGATACACTTGGTTTGCTTCTCCTTGTGTCACGAATCGTGGCAGTCGCTCGGAAAGTCCGAAAAACCTGGCCAAACCTGTCCTCAGTTTAGCCCGAATTGCAACTCAAGATACCGTTACCGCTAGGTAATATCAGAAATGGGCGAAAAAACTATTTGAAATCAAGCCTCATAGCAACGGCCTGCAATGGAATCTTGGGGTCCGAAGAAAAGCTTGCAGCCCCTGCGTGCACTTGCCCAGCCAGCCATGCTCCAAAGCAACGTCGGGCCCCTGGGGCGGACTGTCGCATCACAGCCAGTCGTGACACCGATGCCAAATATTCGACCATAATCCTTCCATTCCAAGCCTTGCAACTCATCGAAGGAGTACGTAAGCCCCCATCTTTTTTCTTCATAATCTCAGCTGGGTCGACAGTCGACAATACTAAATTCATTAACTCATTAGCTCCTCAAAAACATAGCCCGATAACAACATCCCAACATTCTATTAAGCAGAATCCCGGCCCTAACCTCTAAACCCTACGTGCAAAGCATAAATACACCAGGCTCGATATCAAATACAAGGCTCCAATCCATATTTGAACCTTCGTTGGGACGAGTAGATCTTTTGCTCTTTCAGCCAGGCCTTGAAGTCGACATAGGCTGCTTGGAAAAGCTTCTCGAGATCTTGAGACGGGTCTCCGTACCAGCCTGCTTTTGCCAGCGTGTACCTTGGAGAAATGTGTCTAGCTGGTCCGAATCCTGATAAATTACGAACCAATGAACTCGAACCCGAAATATTGGAAACTGAAGCCCAAGCGCAAGCTCGAACCGTTCGCAATGAAGACCAGGCCCAGGTTCAGGTTGTGCATCGCGCACATGCGGATGGTGTCCAAGCCGAAATTTGGGAGAAGCAGCAACGGACCTTATATGACTGGGCATGATCTTCTTAGACAGCACTGGGTATGATTGTTGCAGAAACCGAAAAAGAAATTCCATCGAGTCACATAAGTTGTCCAAAGGTAGCTTTTCAATCATCCAAGTAAGCACATCTCGGTAGATCGTTGCTCTCCAGGGTGCTTGTTCTCCCGTATGAGTGAACAACATATTCTGATTGCGACCGGTTTGTGTGGCGTTGCAAAAAAAGCAGACTCGA